TCGTATGGCCCAAGTAGATAATTCCTTAGTCTTGACATACGAAAGGCCGAATAAGGCATTTATGTCGAACCCGACCAGACCAGGCTCTTTCCCAAGTACACGAAAGAGGTTCCTGCTGACGGAGTGCAAACACCGTGGCAGAACTCCTCACCGGCAAGTACGGAGCGAACATGCAAGGATTATTTTCTTGATGTGTAACAACCGTGTATTCTAGTAGAACAGAGGGGACCAGACGTTGTGGCATCCAACACCAAGGTGTCGCACTGCAGGAATGACCCTTAACGCGAGCTAGCTTTCGCGAGCCATCTAACTTAAGGTTTCTGTTAGCTAGCTTTTTACCTTATACGAAGACGCACCTCCACAGATACAAGCGCAACCTCATCCGCTTCGGCGAGCTTATATCTCGCTGCTTTCTAGTCGCTAGAAACCCGAATGTCTTCATAGGCCATAAACTTGCCGGAGACGTGTTGGCAGAGATAGGAAAGCAGACGAGCTGTTAAAGCAGCAGCAGCAGCATCTACAGACTCAAACCTTACTACAACCACTACCAGTTCAGGCTGCCAGCAGCCTCTGTTGGACGTTGAGTGTTTAACCAACTGCCTTAGGCTAGGGTTTCAATTGCTTAACGCTCCTAATTTTATAATTAGCAACAAAATTTCTAGCAAAAGCAAGCAGTTCCTTAAAAAACCACTATGACCGTTCTCAGAGAGGTGACTACCTGTGCTACGTGCTAATAAAATAGGCTAACAATTCAAAAACAAGGATAACTGCAATTGATCTGATAATGCTTATCTCGATAAAATTGGCGCGTGAATGAATTGGGTTGCTGGACGTTATGCAGTCGCATCGTATGCTTAGGAATGTGCGTGCGCGAACCCATTTCGACGTTGAAACAATGAGAACGATGCATATTCGAACAAACAGCAACCACTTTCTTACTCATTGGGTCATAAACGAATATACGCTAAAAAGATTAGCACTGAAGGCAATAGCAAATTGGTTTTAATTTAGAAATTTAATTGGCTACATTGTGTTTCTAAACTCGAATACTGGCTACAATACAGTCGTAGGGTACATTTCTAGACAGGGCAGACCTTCAAAAACTTTGTACACACGTTAGCACAAGTGCGTTAGCACTGCTGTCTCTGTTAAGGTACGACTCATACGTTGACCTAAAAGATTACTAATTCGTCGATAGTTTCGGTAACACCATTTGCCAGCGTTTAAATTTATGTATAATTCAAACGCTTCCCTATGTATTCAAGAAGACGATTGTGTCCAGGGGTAGTTTCAGTAAAGGTCAACGCTGCCCAGAGTTACAGATATGAATGTCATCCGTAATGCTTTCGAACCCTGAAAAACTGCGTTCAACTCCTGACCAGCTATGACCTTTTTAACTGCTGGCTTCACAGATAAATTATTATTGAACAAGATTTTATTGGTTATTTGCTTTCAATGTTCCAAATTAAGGAAGCTTATCCTTCTGCTTACAAATCCTGAGGCTGTTTCGAAAAATCTTATATCTCTCTACGTCTGTTTATTTCAGTTGCTTGATAAAAGCACAACTGTGCTTCAATACGTGGCAGAGCCCTATATGAATGCCGGAAGTGTATATACGTTGAATGCTTTTGCGAGGAACGGGTGTTTGAAGCTAGCTATTGGACTTCCTATCCTTCGTAAGAAAGACTATGCAAAGGCTCGTGAACGTATAGACTCATCACTATATTTACCATTTACATGTGTACCTGTTAGGTGTTGCTCACATTGAAGTAAAGATGATCGTAGAATTTTCTTGCTCGTATCTTATTATTAATTAACAATGACGTTATTCAAAAAAGAAGCCCAGAGTAACATAATTCAGCAGCATTTTATCGCGTTTTGTTCCGTGCACAGTAATTGTGGCAGTTTAATGCCCAAGCAATCGATTATTTGCTGAGAGCTAATTTCTATCTGTTTATATTCGTAAGTTACGCTACTAATTGGTCGGTAAGCGTTGTATATTTAGAATTAACAGAACAGTTAAGTTCACAAAATATGTATATACACATATTTGGAAGAGCATATTTATTAGCGTAAGAAAACTTATCGTATATGAGAACTGATAAGTTCTTCAGTTAAATTGTGCAACTACCCGCGATAGATATGAGTCTCCATACAAATGCTGTTATGCATAGTAGACTCTAAGCTGAAATAGGGTAGTCTACCAAACGTGTGTACATGTTCGGTATGTGTACAGATGTTATAGCCACCTTAGCATAGCCTACTTGTCGTCGTTTTCTGCTTCAACCTGCCTTGCTTACCTAATTTTAGGGCAAAGACGTAATATTTTACTATTTGAGCAAAATGTATCAATAAGCACCGTAAGTTAAGCACCGGTTTCCTGACTGCACAGCGGTTACATCGCCGATACTGCGTTAGGTATTGGGAGCAGTTTCACGATCTTACAAATCACCGTCTCACCTTAAGAACATAACTACATAGTCTAGTTTCTGCAAGCAAAGTTTACTGTCCAAAAGTTATGGGCTCGAAAAATACAAGAGTAGCACTTCTATAACATGGCAAGAGGGAAGGTTTCATTGAAGATGGATGTCTGCTTTCTGCCTCCCGCATACTGACGCACTAATTCACGCTAGCATTTTCTACCCGTCTTCAGTTCGCGCTGAGAGTGCATAAGAGATTTCAGACCAGGGGTCCATAGTGAGGTATACTGAGGATCTGCCTAAGATTTACCTTACCAGGTGTTGGAGTAGCATAATACTTGATATCTGCATGAATACAATATTCTGTTTAGAGTGCATCTAAGAAGCATGCGATTTCCGAAATATTATGACGGTGAACAAAGCTATGCATATTAAACCCAGAAAAACAATTCATTCGGGCTTAACAATGCTAAGCTTTTAGCCGTTAGAAATGTATGACACGGCACACGCCTGAAATTTGGTATAAATAAACATACAGGATAAGCACTTATTTCGAAAATTATAAATTGTCCCGGCTCTATACGTATGTTTTTGGATTGATAGGAAGTGGTGTGGGTAATGTGTTTGTGCTTGATTTGATCTTGACACTGAGAAGTCTTTTCGCATATATAGCTGCTGATAGAACCCTCAGTTCTAGCAATCAAAAATAGAAGTGCATAAAAATTACCTAAAAACAGGCCACTGATACTAGCAAGAATATAGCGTACTATGCTGCTGATACATACATGTACTTATCGGCAGCTTGATTTTGATGTTCGTCCGCGTACGTAAGGACGACCCATAAGGGCCATCTTCTTTGATTGGCTCCGCAGTTTATAATGCCATAGAAGCCATATCTGCTTTAATTGCGATAAATTCTATCACCTTCTTATTAGGATATAGCCATTCGATGAATGTCATGCATTTTTTTTTTATCTGTTACTTAGTGAATAATATGGAATTGTCGATTTCGCTTGCGTACAGGACCCATTAGGGTTGTTTCGTTTGAGCGAAGCGATACAATCGTCTGCTAACCAAAATGAAAAGCTGTTATTTGCCTATTTAAATACTAGTACAGGATAGTTCTATATATTTGTGTTTTGATTAATGTTAGTCTCTACATTAAACAACAAAGTCTCCGGGTACAAAATCAGATATAAAACAGAGAGCGACTACCTTCCGCTGATCGCACAGCTAAGCTCTCTTAAGAAACAAATAAATAATTAAAGCGTGTGTAAAATTTAATTTAGCGTGTCGTTTTATGTTCTGTAATTTATTAACAAAGGTTTGTTTCTAAATTACCATCTAAAATACTGTTTCGATACTTATCTAGCTTGCTTTTGTGTTCTGAGTTGTTGTTGAGATAGAGCCGTCGATGCAACACTTCGGCAAAACTGACAGCATCTACAGTGAAATTTTCGTTTACCCTTCGATATGGCTGCCTAAGCTCGTAGAAATGTTTCTCGCTTTGCTAAAGTTATTAAACTTTCTAAGAAGGTGTCGCTTAACGGTCTGTTTTAATTCGGTTACAAGCACATGATTGTTTGTGAAAATTATAACTGAATATCTCAGTTCATTTACTAAGCTTTGATTGTTTAACTGAAAAAAAAAAGTGTTATAGTTTCATTTTGCAACTGTAGTACCTTTTTAAAACCATTAACGGCTGAGGCCATCAAGTATGAGGCTTAGCGGAAGAAAACTAGTTTGTCCATCCAACAAGATATGTTTAAATCGCATCATGTTGGCTATTGGTAGCACAACCTGAAACTCAATCAAAAATTGTTGAACTTTCATTATCTCTAGCGTAAATAAAAGCTAAATTTCTGTAAAAAGTCGACTTTTGGCTTGGCCAGCTTCTATACGGGAGTACTAAGTAAATGACAAATCTTTTTAAGTAAAAATTATCATATAACCATTTTTCTTAAGCACGACATCAGATACTAATGTCCGAACGAGGATTGCACACCAAGACATCTATTTCCTACGTACCCTTTTGCGTGCACAATCTATCTTCCGTTCCGTATGGAGCTATTATGTTGGCTCCGAAACTTTCTTTGGGAGCATCTTAGTAAAAGCCACTTTGAGAGCGAATTTAACAGTTGGACAAATGCTAGGCACAAGCGCTCCAGACTCTTAGTGAACTATATCAAAATAAAATACTTTGCAAACGAAGTGGCTGTTTTCTACATCGGCATAGAATTCCCCAGAACACCCCTACTTTTGTCGCCGTCTCTCGATGCAATGCTTAGTCACTCTATATTATGCCGGGGAGCGTGGCAATCAGCAGATATCAGCAATCACGAGCGAGAATTTGATTAGGATTTCTTTGCTTGTGGCAAGCTATTCAGTGGCATGTCCCGATACGATCGCGTCAGTTAGCAGGACTTCTGGTAATTTCCTTTCGCTGATGGGTGTTAGTGTGTTGTTATTAATGCAGGAGACTAACTGTGTTTCATATTACCAGATGACAGGAAAGACTTGTCCCAAGCCGAGCACGTGCCACTCGTTGGGAGTCATCTGATTGGTAAGCAAGAAAACGAATAAGAAGCTTCCATCGCTCGCAGCGGAAAATATCAACCGAGTCCGAGGAATTTTAACGTGGCAGGGCTTCAGTGGCAGTATGAGCCAGACGGGCCTGAGACAAACGGAAAGAGCTCTGGTCTGACGCTAGCGTTAACTGTGGCAACGGCCGCGGTGGCGGTGTTATCTAGATTTGCGGATCACGTTTGTCGTATCGATCCACTGAATTTGGCGCCACTGTACTAGACACGTATACTCCAACCCATTTTTCAATACGTTATTTGCTAAAGGTCAAAGAAGCAGCCTTGCCGTTCATCATGCTTGGTATGCCTTTAGTGTCGTCTGGTTGACCTGATCCCGCGATACGTGTGGTTGGCAAAGTTTGAGCAGCCACACATTTGGGAAGACCCCTGCTCCCTTTCCTTCCTAGCCGGGTCTGACTGTGTAACGCGCACAAGGATGCCAGAGGAAGCAATAGCTGCCCGTGAACAGAGGCCACACATGATGCCAATATGTTTGATAAAACAGCACCAGCTCTTCTAGTTTCGGGTTAAACTATAGCACAGAGGTGCCGTATGTACCTGTTCCATTATATTCTGCATGCGGATTGGACGGTTCTTTTTTTCGAAACCGGCCTTTTATGAATGACTGGCTTGCTCTCTACTTTGTGATGATTGCTTTTATCTGTCCTGATATATATTTTAATTGTGTTAATAGTATCAACATTCGGTGTAACAGCTGCACGGTAGGGTTGTTTAAAAAATATGTGTTGGTGCATGAAACAGATACCTTTTTCTATCTTAATACAGGTGCTACGTGCATGAATGTATCTGATTATAAAAGCAAATCGAAATTACGGGACGTATTAGAAATCGCTGTCTTTGCCCTTATCTTTAATCATGTCTGTAGCTTTCGACCGTGTCTTGGTACCTAAAGCAGTACGCCAAATGCAGCTGGGGCATATTCTCATACTCAACATAACTTACTTTGAAAGGATTTCGATCATGCGATTCGAACCATCTTTTCAATACAAGCTTGAGTGTCAATTGCCGCGAAGCACATGTTAACGGAGGTTGTCAAAGCAGAGAAACGATTTAAGAAAGCGATATTTGATTCATAAAAGAAATTTACTCCTCTGCCCAACGTAGCTTCTCGGTATTGCTATATTAACGATCCGTATTAATGGCTATTACATGATGAGGTAAACTTATCAATTTAGCTACAGATGTTTCAATCGCTGAGAAGGTAAGCGTCCCAACGATAGTCAAGCCAGGGTGATCGGCCTAGTTCGTTCGATACGTTTGGGTATAATGACGATAAGAAATAGGACTCATCTAGCTGAAGGTCTGCTACCGGCTAAGTGTCCTATGTTTACTCATTATTTGAGTATATCAAATATTCTATAAGACTGCAGGCATTGTTTTGATTGTCGTCGTTTTTTTTCTATAGTTAACGCGCGACGAAGGCAACACCTTTCTTGTCTTGTACACCCTCCTCTTTTATTGCCTTTGGAGGAAAGATACAGACTGAAAATATTTGTAGAGAAGTTAAGAATCGCTTATAATCCGCACAGTATTAATAGTTTTCGAATCACTTGGCATTGCGTGGTAGATTGTTGTATATTATGTTTATACTTGTACCACTTTTATGGCCATAACAGAAGTTCTCTGGTCGAATTAAATAACGAGACTCGCCAGTGTCTGGCGTGAGCTTTGGTTTTGGCCAGTGCCGTTGATGGTCATTGCACTTATAAGTGCCTAAACGGGAAACGACAATCTTAAAAAAGTCGGCCACGTGGTTCTAATTTAGCATAATAGTCAAGCGTTTAGCTTCAGTGGCGACGAAGTACACACTGGCAGACAAAAGATATCTTCACCAAGCTTCAAAAATCAAGATTTCAAAGGGAATTTCATAGTTTCGTATCAAAATCAAGTGTAAATGCGAGTAATAAGTATCCCTGTGTTTATGGCATACCAACCTGCGGCATTTCAATGATAGCTAGTTGTAGGGACTCTTAAAGAATAAAAATTACCAAACCTATGGATTTGATAGAGTACACGACGAAACATGAATACACTAATTTGGGGTTCTTTTAACAAGAGCCTTCCCTCGGCCGTCTTACCCCTAGGAAAATATTTTTCGTGGAACACCTTTCCTTCTATGCGGGATCATTTTCCAGGCGCAAATGCCATGATGTCCTAGATTGAGTAGGAAGATCTCCGCGATTGTGCATTGTTAGATTGCAGAGATTCGCGTGTTCTTCACGCATAATTACGGTCGATGTTCGCGAGACTTCACATTTCTTAGAGATAGTTTGGTGATATATAGAACATCTAAAGCACAGACGAATTAGCCAATTAATGAATAAGAATAGTTTATTCTTCAAAGCGCAGCGCGGATGGCCGCCGACACAGATACGTGGACAATAAAAAAACAGCCGGACAAGCCAGAAGTTTAGCACTCAACAATTGGCCAAATGACTTCGGCAGTAAACAGAAGTAATGCAATGGGCGGCTAAATGTGTTTTTTAATGCTATATAAAACTTGAAAAAGAACTGCCCCAATGTTTACAATCGCGTCCCCCCTCTAAAGTTCAAAAAACGAGAACAAACCCCCAAATGTATTAGCCTTCGTTCCTCTTGATTCCTTCGGTTCCATGTTACTAGCTTTCATGCCGCTATATTTAATTCTGATCGCTCTACAACACAAGGCAGAATATAAGACAATTCTGACAATTAAAATCACGTTAACTTTCAGGGAGTATAGGTGAGGCTGACTCGCTTGAAAAGGCCAGATACCTTTGAACCGCATCGTAACGCAGGGCGCGGCTCTTTGACACAGTTCAGAAAAGACTGCAGACTCAAGATGGCCAACGAAAATAGAGAGTGGTAGGCGGTACGTGCCGGCGTTAGTAACTGCGGCGGGGTCAATGACAAATTGCGTTTTGTCCGACAGCGGAACATTTTATTTTACCAGGCCATCGGGACTAGTCGCTAGTGATCTAACTATAGCTACCTCTGCTTTTACTCTACTGTCTCAAAGCGTCCGTGCACGGGTAGTTGTGTTTAGACGAACTGTTAGGTGACTTTCTTTATCGCTTGTCAGGCTGTATTATCTTAAGGGGCGCTGGCCTATGACAAACGAATGGCTACAACGTGGCAAATTTAGATAACGCTAGTAAAATAAAGGACCCCTGTGTTTACAATTAACATCTCACAGTCTAAGGACTAAGCCTTTTCTGTTGATTTCGTTTTGCTGCTAATGAAATTTACTATGATTACGTATGCGTAGCAATCCACATATATGTAATAGCAAGCTTGTCAAAAAAATGTATCGTTTTTTGCAGCTATTCCCAACATTCGCATAGCGCAAGGCTAGTTTTTTCGCGCTGATTACAGCGAGCTGAATCGGTCTTATGTGAGTATAACTCTCACTGGCTGTTTCGTAACACGAGCGTCCTAATCTTCACGAAGAACTGCGTGAAAAAGCATTTCTTCCATATACTACCGTGAAACATGTCAGAAGCAGCAGTCTAACGGGTTTAGGCTCGTTGCGGCGGAGAGCTATTGGAAGACGATAATGAGGCTAGAATCAAGATCCCTTAACCATACCAAAGTAAAAAGGAGCTCTGAATATTGCCGCAGGATTACAATGGAAATCACGCGAGTTTACAGTTTTAAATTGTTCCAGAAAAACCAATGATTAGTGCCATTAACCAATGATGAATTAGAATGTGTGCTGTGATTTTGAAACACTGCGGTTTTGTCTGCTAGCATATAGCATGCCGGCTATGCTCTACGCACGGCCTACGTGAAAAAAATTGACACTTTGTAATTGTTTAAAGATGTGAGGTATATTTTATCATCGAAGAAGACTATGCGTCGTTTTCTTATTTCGTTACGATAAAATTATAGTATTAGAACGTTAGCAGATGGCTAAAAGTTACCTGTAGTTGCACAGGAGGCCTCGGAAGCCAATCAAATTACGTATTTGTCTGTCGCAGTCGGATTGTTTCATTAACGGACCTATTGGAAGTATTGCAGTAAGCATAAAATTCAATCCCGAATTTCGTTCGGGTCTCTTATCGCCAGTTTCGATGTCTGTTTTACTATTTAAACCGCTGTGTTGTTTGTATAGTCGTCTCTTAACAAATGAATAAATAAGAGTGTCGCGATGTAATCTTACATATTCGCTTATAGAATAGTCCAATGTCGTTCTGAGCTATCCGTTTAGGAAACGCGAGAGTATATATCTGTGAAGCGACGTTGCTTCTCAATTCAATCATTATGGGTCCCAATCAAAATGGGAATTGTTGGAACAGCGTATTGTATGGAGCATGATTACTATCAAGGAACATTTCCCTGTTGGATATCCGGACCGCCGTAGTGCTAACTAAACACAAAGCAAATGCTAAACGCGAAAGAAAAACAATATTGTAGTTAACGACAAGCTGTTCCAAACGTTTGATAATTGTGACGCAGTGATCAGGCACTCATAACTATACCTGAAATTGTCAATCAAGGACGAATTTGCTCCTAGGCTTAAATTGAGGACATCTCGATGCACAGTAGGAAAATGGTAATACCAATCGCGCATGCGTAAGCCAGATTAGCCAGCTCAAGTAGGCTCCCAAAGAGACGTTTGCTTTTTGGAGGAAATGCATAAGGAAGACAAGTGCGAATAGATGGCGTACATAGAGTAGGTTATGCGTGGAATATTAGAGGAAATGCCTGTCAAGGCTTTTCTAGGTACGTTATAAATCGAAACCAGTGTAGCCTTATGCAGAATCGAGTGCTTCTGCATCAACGGCAAAGTGTGAGCCAACGTCCCTTCATTCAATCACCAGCGAATTGCATTATTACAGCGGTGACAGACGAATACTGAAATAGGCGTGTTTGGCTAGGGTGCTTAGATCTAAGTTGTAGACGACTACCCATATAAATATATATATGTATATAGTTTAGCAGGACCGTACAAGGGCAACATAGCGATCTATATGTATTTTCACTGCAGACTCTCGGAACGCATTTAATTACACGATTAATCTTCAACATGTACCAATCGCAGCTGGCTCTTGACGCATTAAAATGTTTTTATAAATATAAAATAAAAAATTTTTAAGGCTGTATGACTACGCCGAAATATTAAAAGATATATTAGACGGATCAATTTAGCAACCTGAATAGCTATAAAACTGCTAGGTTATATTAGATAATTTTCTGTGACCCAAATTATCGGTGCAGTAAGATGTACGAATTAATGCGGCACTTAATTTAGCCGGAAATTTCTCTAAAAATTAATTAGGGAATACTATAATATACTCGACTAGGTTGCAATAAGCTTATTTCTGCTATGAAACAGGTGATCTCAAAACAGAATAGATGAAGCATAATAGCAGAGAAAAGCCGAAGGGGGGGACTTTTTCCCTTCATATCGAGCGAGAACGCCTTTGTTCTAAGCGAAGTGCTCATGCAGCAAAAAGCACACGTCATTATTCTTTCTCTTGGACAATCTTCCTGTGTTTTACATATCAGGAGACAACAATAAGATCAGTTGAAACGGCGTGAAACGTATTCTTGAACATTTACATTTATGTCTGTCGGCGTAACAGACGTGTGCAGTGGACATGCGCTTCTGACCCATGCCGGTAAATAGGCATACAGACGCCTGTAATTATGAAGGCAACAAAAACAATATATATTGTCCTGTCGATCTCAGAATAAGACTTCACCCCCCCAGTTACCCACAAATCATTTAATTCCGAGTCTTTTGTGAGTCGCCCGATTTTTCTTAAAAAAGGATTTTTTTCTGTGCTTGTGCCTATTTTCTATTCTCGCTTCTGCTCACCCTCAAGGGTTAAACTTGCCCACATTGTATCCATTACTTGCAGCTTCCCTGCGCTCAAATAAGCACTAGGTGTTTTCTACAGCCAATTTCGAGGTTCTATGAACAGCCACTGATTTGCCCTTCTGTTCGGGTTGACACAGAAAGCACAAGGGTAATCTACGATATCCCACTTGGTCGACCTAGATTGGCAAAGTGGCTGGCTGGGATGTTCGCTTGATGACACCCATTGAACAACAAAGGCGCACAATAACCCGCCGGGGTCAAGATCTGAAAAAGCAATACTCTGTTTGCTGACACATGCGACGCATCTCGGGCGTCGCTAGCCTCGAAGGTTGTGTGTGCTTGCATGGGTCTTTCGAATCCCGACGACACTCCGCCAGACTACAGCAGAAGCAAGAGACGTCATTTCTGAGTTTTCCGATCAAGCATCTATACCCAAGGATGCACCTCTGCTTGCAACCCGACAAAATCAACGATTGGTTTGCAGTATTTGTTAACCATTCACCCACTCCATGCGAAGCTCGTTTATAGAAAAGCTTATAAATCTTCCTTGCAGCAGCTGCAACTGTGTGCAATTGGATTACGATGGCGTCGATGTCTTCGCCCGAACACCTTGAAGACTAGCAGAATTGCAGATTATGAATCCTATAGGAGCAGTAGGTTCGCTTGAAGTCGCAGGTAGGCGCTCTCAAATAGATATTGCGGCACCCTTTCTTTGCTCATCCAATACCTCCGCCTAGGATAAGAATCGCCTTCGGGTAGGTCTCTGGTTTGGTGTTTAGATGGTACCATGCTTATTCTCTACATCAAGTGATTGTGTGTCGATAAAAATATCTAGTGCAAAGAGAAGAACGTCTCGTGCTGTTCGGCCTGGCAACCACAGCGGCGACAACCCAGTCGGAATAGTAGAGGCGGCCATCGACGGAGTCACTCGACTGGGGCCTGATCTCCCTTCATTCTTGCAGCCTCGTTTACACGTCACATACTCTTTTGCTGCGTCTGCTTCTGTGTTTGCATAGCGGCGCCGCCTAGTTAGGGGTAGCCGTAGCCGTAATCTAGAGATGACGACAGAAGTGGATAGAGAAATATGCAGCTAATCGGTCACAAATAGCTTACTGTTTCACTATGGGCAAGCCATGCCCGTCTTTAATAGATTATCAATAGACATGACAAGGGTTAGGAACCATTCTGGCGCTGGTTTCTCATCAAATCTAATTGCAATTACATATGACTCTTATACCATTCAATATATAGTAATAATAAAAGTTTTTTATTCTGGCATCGATCTACGGGACTATGCCCGGGTCGGAAAGTTTTACACAAAGTTAAACTACCGCGTTGCTGCAAGATTGCAAATAGAGCTAATAGAGATCATCAAATAAGTGCGCTTACATTAACTTCACAAGACCTTTTTATCAACACTATCTCTACAAGTTGTAAGAACGTCACTCTCGTATTTAAATTAACATATGAAACAACGTAAAATAGGAAAAATAATCAAGGCCTTCTTTTCAACTAAACTACTTTTAGATCTAGGCCTTTAATCGAGCTAATAGATAATTATGTGCATGTTCATTATTAACATGACCTTGTTCCTACTGTGCTGTCTATCTGCAATCATATTCCTGCCAGTCCATTACATAGAACTGCTATTGAAAATAGCGGACAGCTTCAAAAAACAAAATGACAGAACCTAGGCGACAGTGAACACAGCGGTGAGCATTCCGTCCTTATTATCACAATGAACTAAGCCGGACGGCGGCGGGGTTCCCGAAGTGACAATGAGAAATTGACTAAAATATGTAAAAAAAGCGATTTTTTTTTTTCGTATGCTTGAATAATGCAAGCTTGTCACATGCTTGAAGCTCTGTGCTTAGGAGTGGACACTGAGATTTTCGTTAAGTGACTTGCCTGTTACTAACAAGTATAAAGGGAGCTTTCCCAAGCTCAGATTTAATAATTAAAAATATTTTCGATTTGCTGATAGCGTCTCCTGAGCTTGTCGCAAACTCTCGATAGTTTCATGCCGTCCAAGCCGTGTTTGAAAGCGGTCTGTATTTACATAGTAGTGGAGAAGAAGTCAATGCAACCGCAAAAACCTTATCTGTGTTCGGAGACTTTGTATCGACAGAGTGTTACTTTTGCAAAAGGCAGTGACGATCCCACTTGCCTCGGCCCCCTCCCCTAAAGGTCATTAGGGTCAGCAGGTTAGCAGCATGCACTGGGTCTAACTACCAGATCGGGATGGTCCATTCGGCTGTCCGGATTTGGGACGAACTCTTCCATCAGAGCGTTGACCTGCAAAGCTTTGACTAAGCTTGCTCAAGCCAACGGGAATGGCTGGGGAAACGACTATATCCAGAGCTAACTTTGAGCTGCAGGCATGAATCGTCCTTATTCGGTTGTAGAGCGGTAGTGTCCCCGCCGTCATACAGCCGGCGAAGACACTACCGCTCTACAACGAACTACTACTTACTATCAGACCACTTCCGGTGGCAGCCGCATCTTCAGTGGGATCATCGACCGGATGAGGGATCAATTTTTCTGTTCCATTCCGCCTAGCAAAAGCTTTGGGCATATCTCCACGTTTTTTACGACTTACGTACGCATCTCAGTGGCATTCTCTCAACAGTTGGCAAATCGTAACCGGAAAATTGTCAAAGCTCCCTAGATGTATGGCAAAACAAGTAAGTTACGATTTGGTTTAATCCAATTTTTACGTTTGTAGTTTTACTTTAATTTCATGTTCTACTAGGATTCTGGTAAACATCACGATAGAATTTCGTTCTCGTCCAAAGCACTAGGCAAAGTCTTGTCAGCGACGTACTATCAAACAGGCCGAAAGTTCTTTGCATAACAGTGCAAATCCCTCCGCTTGATGGGCTAAGATATTCGTTCCTGAATCTGGTTAATTTGAGAATCACTATTTGAGTGTTAACCGATCAATATGTCGAACAACGACTAGTACTTAGGACTTCATTATGTTTTGCTTCTGTGCAGCCCGTCGCGCAAATTTTTGCGTGAATATCAGAGTGCTATCGGAATGCTGGAAAGAACCTGTTGAGAGTCAACGAAATCGGCACACTCTTAATGTATTGAAAATGTACGCATTTCAACCTTTAGACGAGTGTTCATTTACAAAATATCATCACTTAAGGAAAACCAGTCGTTAGAACTGTCCCAGAATGGTCCTAGACGCCTAGACAAAAACCAGGCTCGTCACTGGCCCAGGCAAAATTCAATGATTCAAGCAAGTACGCCGTTCTATGCGGCTGCTTTTCTGTGAC